CCTCCCAGTGTAAAAGTGATATGCAATTTATTCCACAAATGCAGTATGTTTCCCTAACTCCTGTTTTGGTTTCTTTTTTATTCCTGGATGCCCGCTTCATGCTGGTTTTTCACAGGAACTGTGCATATTAACACTGAAGTCTATTTTCCATTTTGGCAATTGCATCAGGCAGCTTCAGTAAAACCTTAAGAACCACTACAAGTGGTTTTGTCACAGGTGATAGCTGGTGTGCTGATACAGTACCATTTTCTTGCCGTCGTCTTCTGTTGCAGCCCCACTGTCTGCCCTTACCGAGGTCTCAGCTATAACCACAGCAGTATTATTAGCACTGGCCATTAATAGCCCTGTTTAGCATATTCCTGTTGGTACTGTAGAGAGGCATACATGATCTAGAGTTTAAGAAATAATTTTGGCACAGAGCTATGCTTAAATTCTTTTCTTTGGCAGATAAATTGACTCAGTACTTAAGTGCTCTGATATATGTTAGTCTATTGACAGAACAAACAGTAAGTGTAATAATACCATCCAGCACGTGCATTAGTTGGCCAAGATACACACATACTTACATAACTGTTCTTTGCATTATCATAAAACTGACATTTCCATAACAGTTTTGTTATTAGTAAAAATAATCTTTGATTCTATGTTTCAGAGTAAGCAAGCTGTGGAAAAAACAACAGAAATCTCAAAAAGTTGTAAGAGGAAAGAAGAAAGAAAAAAAAAAAAAAACAAGACAGGTCATTTCCAGACATCTCCATTCTCAAAAGATTAATGAAAATCTATGAAAGGCATTGTACATGCTTCCAAACTACTGTCTGTGCAATATTCAGAGTTTAAAAAGGTATATAGAGAATGAAAATGTTCTTGCAAGGTGAAGATGCATCTGTATATTCATTTGAAATGGGATTAGGAGTATGAAAAGAAAACTACTGTGGCAATTATGTAAGTTGGGTGTCAACCGCTTGGGGCTTTGAATGAGTATTATTTGACATGGAGACAATCAGAATCCAGAATCAATCCTTGATGACTTACACTGCATCCTTACTGTGAAATTATTGCAGAAATTTAATGGATTATAAATTGTATAATATAAAACAATATTTGAAATTTGGATACCTACTATTATGTACGTCCCCATTCAGTTGCCAAACAAGTTGTGTTTTCCCATTCTATAGCACACAATTGGCTGAGCAGCTATAATTCTAGCTGAACAATCACTTGGTGGGCTTAAAGGAACTTAGTTCAAGTTCCTATATTTAGATACTAAATTTGGAACATTTTCAGTAAAGTCTGAATGAGAGAAGCCAATGCAGTCTTTCCCTGCCCAATCTGAAATAATGAGTTTTTATTTACAGTTAAAAACAGTGACATAGTACAGACGGAAAACTCACTGAAAAAGCTCTCATTTTTTGTGCCATTCTCCCACGTGCGACCTCCTTAATGTCATGTGTGTCTGTAGGGAACAGATGCATTCTAGAGTGCCAAGGACAGTATTTCTCCAAAACGGCTTGAAAATTTTTATACAGCTCTTTAGGTGATAAAATAGCCAAGAAAATAGTTACTAGTTGGGAAACTGTTATTTTATTTCTATAAAGCAGTATGGATGGAGTTAAAGGTACCTGTATCATATTTGCTCTACAACTTTCACTGTTAATGTAAGTTCTGGCACTGCACAGTAAAAATGCATGATTTTAAGAGCAGACAAGACAAAGCAAGCAAGAGTATATCAAATCAAAAGTTATCTCCTTTCTGTTTTGAAAAAATTAGTTTTCAAAACATCTTCCATCCTAATACTGAAAACGGTGTTTCATGTTGGCAATCTCTCTTCTATCAAAGGATATCCCAGTCTTTTGGAATAAATTCAGAGCTGCATCTCGTTTGAACTGACATGCTCAGCAAAGAAGCTGGTTATGCCTGATGGCTTCTTACATGAGGAGGAGAGACTAAAGGAAGGGATCGTAATTGTTTTAATGACCACATTCGATATATTACTGACCTTTTTCTACCCATAGGCATCCAGAGCAGTTCCTATATACTTGAGCCACTTGTTTTGCTGCCCCCCTCCCAGTTGTGCAGGAAAAACTGCTTTATAGCATCATGAAGCGATTAAGTTCAGGGAGTGGTTACAGGTTAAAACTAGCATTGCCAAATCATTGAAATCACTGTGTTTTATATTTGCATTTGCAAAGTGTACAGCAAATGTGTGACATTTTGACAGCACCCAAACATAATCTGTGTCATAGCTTGCTCTTATGAGCTCTTGGTCCTGAAGAGGAGAATTGCATCCATTTTCCATCTAATCCCTGCTAAGAAAAATTAGAGATGACAAGGCAAATTTTCTAAGTTCAAAAAAAGAAGTATGACTACAACAGGCTTTTTTTTTTTAATCTATTTCGAGGCAGTTGACGTTTTACATAGCAGATATTACATGTGCTTAAATTTCAGATTTTTTTTGCTTTAGGAACAGGTATATTCAAAACTTAAACATCCATGCAAAAGGTGTAAAAATACAATGTTATATCAAAGGAAAACTATGTATGAATTTTCTTTTCAAGTTTTCCACAAAGCAGTTTTAATTTTAAACTTCTCTGGATTACGCCTAGTCCCAGTAATTCAGATTCAGAAGTGCCATGATGGCTTAAAAAAAAAGGAGAAAAAAGACTATGATGAGTTACAGAGAACTGAATTATCAAAGTTAATGACAAGCTTATGACTAGGAAGTTACTTCAACTTTGTATCATTGATCTTTTCAAAATTTCTGCGATAGCTGTTGAGAACCTATTGAGAGAGGCCTATTGGTAAGATATATCCACAGTGAGGAAAAACAGATGCAATTTTGCATCTAAGTATTTTCATTGTAGTTTAATATTTCTTTCTGATTGGGAAATAGAGTAAGGAGGGGTTTTTTTTAGTATATATGCTGTAGTCCATGTTATCATCAGACATTGCTGTATTATTAGCATGATAGGAGTAGCTTGAGCGTCACACCGGCTACATATGGTGGGCCCTCCGAGTTTATAGATCTCTCAACTCTGGCCAAACCAGAGACTCGGTGACATCAAGATAGCAGTTGTTCCTTCTATGGCTGACTTCTGCGAGTTTGGGAATTGGACAGTGTGGATTGAGAGAAGTGTGAATCAGCCGAGGTAAGAGCAAAAGATCTTACATGTTGTTTAATAGTGTTTTCAAGGAAATTTTAGGTCCTTCTGAACTGATAGTTGATTAATGTAGAAACAGAAGATCTTTAAGATCAATATAATTGAAGTGATGGAACTATTTTATTTTTTACTTTATTACCAAAGGCCAGATTTCTCTGGCCAAGGTGCACAACATGCAAGCCACTGCCGAAGTGTATGGCATACTCCATTAGCAGTTTTAGGAGACACGTCGAGAGTTGGAATTCCAGGAGGATTTGGTCATCCTCTCCCCTTAGTGAAGGCAGTCCAGTCCATTTAGGTGAAGCTGTGATTCACAACTGGAGAAACTTGCACTACAACTGCTCGTAATACTCTGTGTGTGTAGAGAATATGCTTCATGAGGAAGGTCAGTTTGGCACCTGCTAGGTGTCCTGTTTAAACATAAAAAGTGTTTTAAAGATACATAAATGCACTCAAAAATCTTGCATAAAGTCTTCCTTGGCTTTAAAAATGTGTGATTACATAGGAAAAGTTTTTATTTCTATTCACACTTTGTATTACTCTACAGCACTTGCAAAGCTGGATGCGTGCACCATGTACTCCTTTTCTACGCTAGCAATGTTCTGAGGTTGATACGTGGTCCACAGAATGAGCTGTAGCTGCTTTCCTTCTCAGCAACTTGAACTCGGTTGTTGTCTGCTATACCAGGCAAGCAGAAAAGTTTGTTTAGAGCATCAAACCAGTGTGAATTGTAACATGTATTATATTCAACATAACTGAAGGTAGGAATGGTCCCAATTTAAGGTATTCAAAGTTCTACAAATAAAGATTCTCTGGTTCCTCAACGTAAAGAAAATCTGGGCTTGATTAGGGATCATGACATTCAAGTTATCCAAAATTCCTTTTTCTCAAATGAATTTTAAAATTCACATTAACTTCATACATATTACTTTATTGTTGTTACCAAGAGCTGAATTACACGGAGATAAATGATAGTTATTTCTGTTACAAGGAAAACTACATTTCTGGATTGAATGATATTTTGAATGGTAAAAGGGGATTAAGAAATTAAATTTCTGTCTCTGCCCTTCCCTTCCTTTTAAAATATCACATTTTTGACTCTGTACTCTTATTTATACCATATTCTTACACATCATTATTCCTGTGCCTTTATAATCATATGTAATCCAGCTGTGACAATCAGCAGCAATTGTTATTGAAGGAAAGTTGGCAAAAACAAAAAGTTAGTATTTTGAAACCCCAACTCAGTAGCATTTCTGTTGAGCACAGATAGTATTTTTTTAAAAATGGTAGAGAAGAGAAACAATTTCTCAAGTTAGTAAGCAGTAATCCAGCCTAGTTTTTAAAGTTTAGCACCACAATCTGATGTAGATACAGAACTGGACCAGTACTAGTACAGAACAGTGAAGATAAGTATGCTGGTTGGTGTGACTTTTCTAATAGTGTGTTAGTGAATAGAGAATCAACTGATTTTTCTAAAGTACAAGTGGGAACTGACTCACATTTAAGATCTTGCCTCAACCGGGTAATATAAGCGTGACTGTCTGGAGTCATTTGGCTCTGCAAACTGATGCTTTAAAGTTCAGCCCAACCACCAAAACCAACATGGACATAGTGAGATTTCTGCAGTGTGGTCAGAGACTTGATAAATTGCAATGAGCTGATCAGAAATTAAAGGAGGGGAGAGGGGTGCGCGTGTGGGCAGGCACACGCAAGGGCCAGATCAGGCCTAGAGAAGACTTTTGCCTTTTAGTTTTTCACTTTGTGGATAAGCTACGGTGAACCAGTGTGGTCCATGCACATCTGTAATGTCTTGCTGATCCTTCCTGGTCAAGGTGTACGATGGGGTATGTTACTCTTTTAGGGTATACCTCCATAGGAATGTCCTAGACTACATACAAAAATAAGTGCTGTGTATGTACCTAAAGCTGCCAAGAAAATGATTTGTGTTGGGCACAGTCAGGTTCTCTGAATGTAGTTGATCTATTTGGCAATGTGATAGGAGAACTTTTGTGCAGATGAAATACTGGTAAGTCTTGAGAATAGGAAAAGAAAGGTGGACTGTTTCTAACTTCAGCTCTTAGAACTTCCATTAATTTGTTTGTCCTAACTTTAACTAGAACATTGTATCTTTTAAAGTTTAAGTTGTACCTGAATATCAACATTATTTAAGAAACTTATCTTAAAGTAGGCTTAAAGAGACAGGGCACTAGATGCAAAATTGACTTTTCCAATACTTTTATTTGGGTAAAGATTAGAAAAAAAGTCCAACTTTCTATTATCTTTCAAATTAATGATGTATATTGTTTAGCTTTGTTCTTATCCACACTTTGGAGCTCCACTTTTTAAGATGTATGTAGTTGTATATGTAAATATTTTATTTTTGAATGTAATCAGCCACTTTAAAATTCCCTTTTAGTTTTTAAGTTCCCTAGTGCTTCAAAACTCTTACCTATGTTCTGCTGATTTTTTTTTTGTCCTCTCACAAATCCAAGCTGCTAAATTAGCAAGTAAATTCAGCCTACCCTACTCCGACATTACAAAGTAGCTATATTTAACTGACCATTTCCATGATTACTGCTGTCAAACAAGACCTAGCTTTCAGTTACTAGAGACCGTAGACTTTGATAACTGTGAACGTAAGATATTTGTGGTATTTTCACAAGAGGAATTTTCATAGTGTGTGTATAATGAAATATAGGAACAATGAAAAGTAGAAACAATACAGAAGTTGAATGTTGAGGAACGTTGCAATTTCGTGTCGGTAAATAACGCTGGGGGCTGGTGGGGCTGGGAGAGTGTTCGCAGGTTTGGGAACCGTTCAGGCTGGTGCTGCGGGCTCCTGCCCCAGTCGGACCCCCGCGGCGGGAGCGTCCCGCGGCTGTCAAACTGCAGCTGCGCCTCATGGAAACGGGACCACTGCTCCCGAGGCCACGGCGAGGAGCAGGGCTGCCTCCCCAGCTGGGCTCCCTGCTCTCCGCCCCGCGCTGGCGGGCACGCGTCCGCTTACCCCATTGCAATGGCGTCGCTTTGCCGAAACGCTCAGGGCCACGAAACCGTGCGGCGGGAAGGCCGCGCCGGGCCGGGCGAGGGG